TTGTGAGCGTTAAGCTCATTTCAAGCCGTGAAAGCCAAATTGGTGCAACCTGAGTTCCGTTGGAAAGTTATATCGGAACTGTCGGAGTCACGGCACTCTTATATCACTTCCCCTGATCGATGGAAGCTCTGAAAAGGGGCTCGAATCAGCCATGCACTTGCACGTGTATTCTCAAGTGTGGCTACACTACTGCTAATTAGTGTAAGGTGGATTCAGTTATCTCTCTTTCAGTTACCTTTAACAACTTACCGCTATTCAGACTAATCTATCTATTTGAAAAGAGAAGCCAGTATAGCAACATTGCACGATTTATGTCCTGGACGATTTCGCTGCATCTCCACTGGTGCCTACTGCAGACAAATACAATGTTTATATATGGTTTGGGAATGAATCACAAAATAAACACATAAATGAGGGGGGAGGTGTCACCAAGGCAAAGCCAAGGTGATGAACAAGTCTTTTTATTGTCATAGAATTGGTTTCCTTCGATGGATTGCCAGCGCCTCGGCTATCTTGAGCATTCTGGTGTTATCAGTAGTAAAAATCACTCGAAACGCTTTCTCGCGATCCACGAGGTGTTGCGTCATCAACACGTGCTTGGCTGTCGATGAGTTTGGTGGTTTGTTAGCACGGTTATTACCAGTTATTGGGTGTGTGGACTGTGACATAGCTACCTTGCGTTGAACCCAGTTCGGAATATGTTCAAAAACCCGATTACGTAATTGCCTTTCTGTTCTGCCTATGTAAGTGTCTCCGCACCCACATTGGAATTGATAGATTACGTTTGAGTTGGCGTACTGAGGTGGGCGTTCTTTAATCGGGGGGACGGGTATACTCCTTGTCCTGTGCACAAGTCTGGGTTTGGCCGCGTAATAGGTCCGGTTGACAGCCGATCGTAACCGTTGTTGGATTAGATTAGTTACGTCATCATCTTTGAATGGAAGACAAATCGTGATCTCCAATCAATCTATCTATCTGTTTGTAGTCGGTAATACGCAATGTGAGTTTTTTGGCATTCCATATGGTTTTATGCACGCGCTTCGCGGATTGTATTCGATGGCAACCGGACAAATTCTGGATGATCTTAAGGATTTTTATTAGTGACTCATCATTCACTCTTTAACGAAGGCAGTTATGGGGCAACAAATCTGGCTGTGTTCTAATGATTCGACAGGAAAACTCTTTGATTATTCTCTTTGACGAAGATACTAACATGGGGACTGGGAATATGGGATTCCTCACAAATCTTCGTTCGTGAGGCAACAAAAGCTCTCACACTGTTCTGATCATCTAAAGTCATCTTCATCCCCCCTCGTATGCCGGAGTGCACTGAATGCTTGCCGTTGTTGTTTTTTTGTCATTAACGATAATTTAATGCCTAATCAGTTCGTTTTTTCTCGGGTTACAGTTACTGTGTTCACCGGTCTATTCGGGTTCCGTGCATCCGGGATCTCCACTTCAACTGTCTCATCCACCCGTTGAGTCATCGTCACCGATGTTGTCCTCCGGTGAGCTGCCAGCCGAGGATTTGGATGTGAGTATTGCGGATCTGGTGAAAACTCGTCGACGCGCGGCACGTTCGTTTCAGGCCAGCTCCACACCGACACGGACCAAATCCAGACAGTTCTTAGCTCCGCCGCAATAGCAGTGGACAACTTGTTTTCTCCCCCAGTCTTTCGATTTGCTTTTGCGTTCTTTATTCTCTTCACTTTGCAATATATCAGCATTTGAATACCGTTTCAGTGGTTTTGAACTCTTTTGTCTTAGGAATCATCATGCTTCTTTCTTCTGTTCATCTACTCCGGCTAGTTCCTCGGAGATGATAATTCGGCTTCGTGAATGCTCACGAAGTGTCATGCGGTGTTCGTACCAACGGCATCACTCTGCCTTTTATGCTGGGGGGGGGCGCATGTGTCTAACTAACCCTTAGTGTACAAAATGTTGACTTCGTGGCCGAAGTACATTTCCATGTGCTCGCCGGTGGCTCACTTGCATCTTTTTTCAGGTTTGACAGATTGCGTTTAGGGTCGTTGAATCGGGCAGTTTATCTCTGCGAACTCGAAACTAGTCGTCTTTGCATACGGTGCGCCGGGGCGTGACCTATGATACATTCTTCAGCATCTTAGCGTCGTAGATGAGAGTTGGGTAAGTGATCAAGATCACCAAGTGGAATATGTCCCCAGGTGTATTGCAAGCTGTTAGCTCACAGGTTCCACTCCTGCTAGGTATCCCGCACTATTCCTCTTGAAACTTCCAGTCACTTGGTGATAGTGTTTGTTTTTTTGGCCGTTTCCTTCATCAGTGAAACATCTTTATCCAAAGTCAATCAATCAATAATAAGTAGTTTGCAGAAGCTTTCACTTTCAGGAAAATAGTAAGGCTTTTCAATCTATTCCGTTCCTCCGAATGATGAATACTTAAGGCAGTTCGATTCCGGAGGTTCTGTTCAAATGACATATTGCTGTACCTGATCAGTATGCTCGTGATCTTAAATTGGGACTTAATATTTCTGCTGTACTGTTCGGTCAGCTGTATCGAATGTGTGTTTGTGGCCTTTCATTGCATAGAGATCGGTTATTAGGCCAAACCCCATCACATCTTCGGGAATTGCAGCTGATCGTAGCAAACGCTTGTTCTATCCTATCTACGGCTGACAACTTGAGTGGCCATTCTCGTTTCTGCAACATGGATACGCGCTCGGTCGCGTTCAGCTCTTTTACCTTTATTTCTGAGATCGGTGTATGTACTTAATTCCAATTAGACTCAGACGCGTACCCCTAAGTTTTTTTCAAATTTTATTACATATCTAAGTGTGATGAACAGCAGATGGGGCGAACTCCATAATCACGAGGACCTGCTGTTCTGTCGTGGAAACCGGCAACCTAAGCCCCGGGCGAGCCACATAAGGCCCCTATAGGCTAGGTGTGATAATGAACCGGACGACAGCAGAGCTGCCTACTATCACCTACAGTGCTATCTGTCATGGTTGTGTCCAATGTTATTTTATTTGACGATGCAGTTCTCTTGTCTGACAAGAGAAACAAATGTTTTGCTCACAAAACACAAAGCTCATTGTATGCCAAAATACAATCTTTGATTTCATTGTATGCTTGTCACGACTCGATCCAAAGCACTCGTCATCAGCGGATACCCTGTATGCACTTTAATTAGTAGTTGCAAAGCGGTCTTCGAAGTTTAACTCTCTCCGCCTCTCAATTGAACCTTACAACGAATCACTCAATGGACAGTGGGTACAAGTCGAGGAAGTTATCCAAATATCGATCAAAACAACGATAAACCTTGGTACACGATCAAAGCCCAGACGATGCATCTTGTGCTTCTTGTTCGATGCCCCCAGAGTCAATTCTCTGGATGCTAAATATAGCACAGTACTCAAATCCTTTAAGCGCCAGCTCATCAAAATCCCGATTAATAACCGCGCGAATTCTGACTCGTTTGGGTGCTAGTGTACGTATGTTTGGTGTGGGTTTTTCACCTTCAAAGTGTTACTACTGGACTGGGTTGGTCCGATCTCCAACCTCACTCTAACTGGAGAAATAGATAAGTTTTGCTATTTGGGTAGCTATGTCTCACCTGGCCAGCGCATCACGGATGAAATACCAGGTCGCATACAGAAGGCTCGTGTGGTATTTACCAACATGAGATATCTGTGGTGTTGTCGCGATATCCGACTGTCCGTGAGTGGTCAAGTGTATGTTGCAGCTGTTCGACCAGTGCTGCTTTACGGTGCAGAGACTCTGTGAGTGCGGGAAAAGGATGAATATAGATTGTCAGTTTTCGAACACCACTGTCTACGTTGCATTGCACGAGTTTCATGAGGACATTGGACAAACAACGCTGAGGTTAGACGTGGAGTTACAGTTAATCGCGGTCACCCATTGGAACAAGAATTGATCAACCTACCTAGATCAAGCTAATTGGGGCTGGCGTGTACTGCCTATGTCACCAGGTATGAGGTTATGAAAACCCCGACCAGGTGATTTGTTCACATAGGCTTCCTGGATGGGGACCCCGGGAACATTGTAAACGGTGGCTAAAGACACAATGTGGTATCGCTGAATGTCGCAAACATGGGCTCTCGTACCTGTACTCATTTTTTGTAACCACAATCTAAATAATTTATCTTTCTTCCCCTTGACTCCGCGCCTAACATTCCATTCTTCCTTCCGCTCTTTTATCTAAATGAACAGCCTAAAAACCGCTGCATCGCTAATGGTTGTCAAAACTGAAACTGCGGAAAACAATAGCTCACGGGATGTAAGCCATTGTCTTGATTTTTGGAGTTTTAGATGGTCCACAATTTCTTCCGAAATGTGTTCTTCCTTAAACGATTTCTTTTTAAAAGTGAAATTTTTATTTTCACCTTTACTTCTTGCTGGAGACCGCGAATCCACTTGTGATAACATACTGCATTCTCCGTTGATTATTGATCAGCTTTGTGGAGTCATGTTTGTTGTGTAGAGACTAACTCTAACGATTATACACGTCACTCCCAAGTCCCGGTAAACCTCAGTGACTACTAGCCAAAGCAGTTCACTGCCTTCTGCTCAGTGTGATTCTGGTTGTGGTTGAGCAGAATCATTACTGGAAACTCGGTTTCTTGTGTGGTGCAATATATAGGAATTTTTTACCGTCATACGGCTTAGGCCTCAGTATGGTTGGGGGTGGGTGTCTAGGGTTGCGGCTGGTCACCCTGCCCTTACACCTCACGAAATGCCCCCATACGACCAAGCGTCTCAAATAGCCTC